AAAAACAGCAGCATTTCTTTGGGTTTCAACTGATTTTTTTTACTTCTAAAATTTCTCCAGATGTAGAGTCTCATTTTCTGCTTGGGTTTTTAAGACACACAGATTTTGCTGTGTATTGGCTACATGCCATGTGTTAAGGCCCATTTATCCCCATGAATCATCATGTGTTTATGATACACTGACAGACCTGTAAACAGGAACCAACATGCAAAACTACTAAAATATAACGGTCCACCTGCAACATGAGGACGCACAGTTACTGTTGAGTAAGCAGGGTGAGACTTTTATTGCTATTTGTTCATTTTGTGACGTTAGAACTAGTTACAAATTCAGCTAAACTAATAATAGTCAAGTACAAGAGCTTAAAGCATTTAACAGCACGCAAGAACAGAAATGGCGCCAACTACTTTCAACACTATAACAGCTAACAACTATACAGCTACGCATGTGTCTGCACTTTATTTTCAAAATCAGAAAAAACTACAAAATAAAAGCGGAGGTCGGAACTCACTGTAGGATTTTATCTTTCCTCCATCAAAGTCATTCTAAGAAGTTGTCCATAGATTCAAAATCAGACAGCAGTAAGATATATTTAAAAAGCTAATTTGGTTGCATCCCGCAATGTAACTCACTATTTCCATGACAACATTACACTCTGTTTCCCACACATGGAAAAGTATTCAAGCTCAGTCTCAGTGGGCAGAAACGCCTCCCAAAACAAATTCACTGCCATGTATCCTTTAATTTAGCCAGATTAATAACCAGCTCTATCTTTATCAAATTTAATTTCAGCCTAATTATAACACTCGGCTCTTGTTATTATGAGATGTGAATATTGCAAACAAAAATTAAAAAAAAACAAGTACTGCAGCTTTTACACGTGTACCACTGAACATAATCAGGTCAGAATAACAACTGGTTGCGTATCATTTTTAATCAGAGGATTTGCAGTTATGGTGCTACATCATAGGAAAATAATGATCAAAAACCAAACTAATAAGGCAGATGATGTGAAGCTGTATTCTTTTTAAAATCGTCCACACCTTATTTGATGCTCACGCAACACAAACTGCTGACTGAAGATTGTTCTGTTTGTTGTAATTGTGTAAAATACACAAAAGACTCCAATAGGACTGGTTTATACTGGGATCAGTCTAAATCTGTTACAGTGGTCAGATTAAGCATTTGTAGAGCCTTGACCGAGTGATGCATCAGACCACAGATCAATCAAAGCCAGCAGAAGGGACGAATTTGCTCCAGAATATTTAGCACAATCAGTAAAATCTGGAGATTATATGACACAACCAGGGTATACTAAACTTGTGATTGGCAAGTTGTTGGCCAATGAGAAAGTTCACAGGTTCACAGTCAGGTCCTGCTCTCCTCATTCATCATTTCGGGTTTTAAACCCGTAAGATAACAAAGGCTAAAACGCTCATTTTAAATGATGTCACAGTGGCAAGCTGCCGTAGTCTGAATGTGGCTTAATACGCTGTTGGCACCTAATACATTTACCTTAATGTTTTATGTCTAACATCTGTTTTATTTAGAATTCTAACCGATTTACTCAAGGCATCCCATCTATATTTTCCAGACCACAAGAAGTGCTAAAGCCACTGTGCACTGCTGTTGGCTGCTGATGTGTTAATATACGTAAAAACTGATCAAATGCAGCCTTTTAAAAACTTTGTATTCACAATAACGTGTGTAGAATTTCCAATGTATAAAAGAAATCTGTTATCGGTTTGTGAATTCAGCCATGATTTCAAATAACAGCAATAAAACAATTATCTCATATGTTAAAATAACTTTGATGAGTTACAAAGCAGACTTATATAAATAAAAATAATGACTGTTACTTTAATTCCCGAGTTTCTGGCACTGTGCACGCTGGCTCACTGCTCAGGAATGAAGCTACTGTTATACTTGTTACTAACATCTTTGCCTTTTACACAACGAAAAGTCAGTTTTATTTAAAAAAAAACTTCTATAACTAAAACGAAGAGACTTATAAATACAGATGGTGAAAAATGTCTCTTCAAGCTTGAAAATGTTATTTACTAACAGCCTAGCACATAAATGAACTTTGTGCAGTAACAGGCAACGTTGATATGTAGACATTAACTGAAGCAGGCAAAAAAACCTCAGTGTGATGTGATACATGACCTGTTTTTGAAAACAGAATAACTCAACATCACTGGGTTCAGTTACTTTTCATACACTCAAAATGTTAACTTTACCATGTTCAACACATAACAAACAAATGTCTGATTAGAAATATACTATAAGAAAACTACATAAATTGATAAAAACCTATAGATTTGATTGGTGTTCGACTTTGCTGAAACTCCCTGTTAAACTGGGATGTTTGGCTAGCGAGGTACTTCAGTCTCACTGCACCCCTCTAATCGTCATATTTCCCACACATATAAATCAATAAAGTCATTTCTATTGCATGAAAAAAAATCAATTAAAAAAAAAATTGCTTATTGCCTGAAGGCTGATGAGAAACCATAAAAGGTAGCAGAAGAGCAACACCTCATATATTTTTTAATTCTTAGGTAATTCAGCTTTCCTGGGCTTTTATTAAACTGTTCTATTATTAAAAGTTATGCAAACACCACACAGTTTTACAGCAGAGCAGATGAGTTGCACACACTGCTGTTGAGTTTATATAACCCTACATTCCTTTGTAGTTTATCCAGTAAACAGCATAAGATTAGCATAAGATTTTTTTTTTTTTTAAAGCAGCTTCTTTTGGCTGCTCCCTCATTCACACGTGGTCATTACAGCATATTTGATTTGGTATATTTTACTCCACATGCTGTTCCTACGCACAAATGTATTACCGTATGTTTCCCTTTGTCTAGAATTGGAGGTCTTACGTGTGTTAAGCCAAAGGGCATACAACCACCTGCACTGCCATTGTAGTAAAAGTCAACATTTATATTTTCATCTTTATTCCTTTAAATACCAATAACCACATATTGTTTTGGATGCTTGATTTAAAGACCAAACCAGAATGTGACTGAAGATGAGCTGAGAGTAAAAATTCAATTTTGGTCCCACATTTTCTTTACCATCTTCATACTGGATAACATTAACATACCACAACTCTAGTGGGCTGTGACCTAAATTGAGATTTAAAAATTACTTGAGGTCTATTCTACTGTAGGAGCAACTCAACAAAACTAGAATAATGTTGGTTGCTAGACCATGCATATGTTTATATTCATTGGGAGCCAAGGAACAGTTCTCTTTAATAATCATGTCTTTATTCCTCTATTACCTGCCTCATCCTATAACACTGCATACTTACTTTTATAGCCTTTATTCCAGACTTGGTGATCTGAGTCATCTTGGCCTTGGAGATGGGGGGCTTGTATTCATTCAATGAGTACAGCTGAAATATGAAAGGAAAAAGACAGAGAACAGCTTGTTTAAATACTGAAGTGATCCTATAAGAACCGTAAACTGCCACCCAATAGCTTTCTAAATGAGTACCCCCCCTTCACCAACTACAAACTTTTATTAACAATTTAAAGAACCTTGGCTTTCGCTGTCATGGGGCTCAGAGAGACCCCAAGTTCACAATAAAGCGACGTCGGGGGCTTGCCTCTGACTCAGGTATTTGCGTTAGTATCGTCATTAAAACAAACACTCACAATTCGATTGCGGTCGACAGCGGATTGATTTTTTACTAGGATTAAATGCAGGTGTTATTTACAATGATCATCATGCTAAAGCAAAGACTTCGTGTTATGTAGACAAATGACGGCTGCGGTCTCCGCTTGGAGGCTTCAGATAGCTAAGGCTAAACTTAACAGTGTGGATATGCGCTGCTACTTCACATTGTTTAGGTTGCATATACCGGGAAGCTAACTGTAATTTGGAAAGTACTGATTCACAATCATTTGTTGTTTCTTTCCCAGGTGAATGAGCGCTACTCTGCCCATGGTCACATCAGATAGTTAGCTCAAGCGGTTTTGCTAATTTGGAGCTAGCTAGCGAGCTAGCTATTTAGCGCTACTGGCAGCCGCTGGGTTATATTTGTTCACAGAATTTAACCCTGATTAGGGCTGTACTAACAAATTAACTCTCTTCTTGCATGATGTGTGGCCAGTTTATACGAAGTACACACTCACTGACTTTACGTTACCGCTGCACTGCTGTGCAGAAACAGCGGCCTTGCCAAACACTACCCTCTTCTTTACTAAGATGCTAACGTTAGCCGACTAGCTACCGCGACTGTGAATTAGACAACATATCCTCAATATACTCAAATCTTTTAGCGAGAATCTCTTACAAACCTCATTGTTAAAGGCTTTGACCGCCTCCATAGTGTTGTATTTCGACTGGCAGACCACAGTAAATATTTACAAACGTCTCCTCGATAACCGGTTAGAGGCGTGCATGCCCGACGCTTGCTGAGATGGAGGAGACTGCCAATATGGCGCATAACCTCAGCGGGGAATGTGGAGAGAAACCGGCGACTCCTAGCGTCAACGAGTCGTATCAGACGGAATGTTGGTGTATAATGAGACCTGATATGATGTGTGGTGATGGTGGCACTGACAGAAAGACAGGAGGCTGAACTGGAGGTGTTAAGATTTTCATTGTGACTGACCACAGTGGAGAAGATTCGGTTAGTGCATCAGGGGGACAGGTTGGGCGGTTTGGAGACAAAGTTGGGGATGCATGGCTGAAATGGTTTCAACCGATGATGCTTTGAAGAGGAGAGAAAGTGGTCAAGTTGGACAAAGGATGCCGAGGATGGAGCTGCCAGGCAGGAGGAGAAGAGGAAGACCACAGAGAAAATATATGGATGAAGCAGGACATGTTTAGTATGACAGAATGCTGCAGATAGGGTGAGATGGAGGTAGATGATTAGCTGTGACACGACCCTTAAAAAGAGCACCTGAAGCAGTACATTATAAAACCTGTGGAACCCATTGGTATCAGTGGTGACACTCACTACAGGAATCATACAAAGAGGCTGGTAAAGTTCACTTTTCTGACTTTATTTCCCTGTATACAAAACAAACACATTCATTCCAGAATTAAGAACAAACATCACACATCCCTTCACAATTATTTACATTTTTTTTAACTTATACAACAGATGATACATAAGGGGGAAAATGCCTCTGTATTCTGGTAGGTCCTGTCATATATTAAAATCCTGTTCGGCCTGAGGTGTCCAAACCTACTGTGCAGTCACATAATGTCTGAATTTATTTATAACCATCCACTTATCTAACTTGTACCAGGTCTTTCAGACTTGTTTGTATGATTCCAGGAGCGTTTTCCTGAGAGTTATCCTTAATACTGCTAAATCCCCACTTTACTTCAATATACTGTATGCACAGATGTTATCAGTTATAAAGTCTGTCACATTTTAGACAAGATTTTGCCTCATACTGTCAATGTTCATGGGCAGAAATGACCAAAAAATAAATAAAAATCAGTGTAGCTGAAATAATTTAAAAAGTTTGTTTTGGTTTAGAAGATTAAAAAAAAAAATCTTCCACAAAAAACGAGGCGATCGCTACATTTCAGCAGTAAATTACATTACAGTCACATGAATTTGACACTTTTGAGTATTAAAAAAGAAGAAATTCTGATTTGAGACCAACATTTATTCTGTTAGTGCAGGCCCTAGTGTTCAGTCAGCAAAGTCTTCCTAATAAGCATGAATATAGGGCGACGACATACACACATTATTGAAAAAGCTTCTGTAACACATGTGTAACAGGCACTGAAGGTGCATGGCACCAATAACTGACTGTGAATAGTTTAAAAACAACAAAATTCACTACAGATAAATTCAAAGTGTTTCCATGCAGAGAACAACAGAGACATTATTTCCATGCACTCCACCGTTCCAAATATACAGTTTATACATAGGTTCATAAAATTATAAAAACAAACAGCTGTAAAAATTGCTAAACCTACAAATTAAACAATAAAAATAATACTACGACACATTTCACATTTTAATGTGTGCTGCTTATCGTCTCCACATGGAACTAAAAACAACAGTTCATTCATCCAACTACTAGTTGAAAAGAACTTGAATATAAACAGAGTTCTCAAGTGAATAACCAACAGCAGTGTGTGTGTGTGTGTGTGCGTGTGTGTGTATTTGATGTATGTGACTGTGAGGTCCTCAGAGTCCGAACACCATAAAAAGTCATGAAGAGTCTTTATAAACTGGTCTCTACCACAGGAGCGGCTATGACCGACGCTTCAGCCTTTGCGGCCTCTGACGCCACCTGCTGGATGTGTGTGACACAGATCTCCTGCACCAGAGGTCCGTTGGCCTCCTTCCACTCTCTGAACTTGTCTGAGGTAAGCTCCGGGTCAGACAGGATCTGTTCTATTGCCTGCAAGTCCGCCTCTTTCGCCTGGGCAAAAAAAGTGAAAAACTGAATATGCATAAATTATTTAACTGTATTTTTTTGCTATTCGCAAACTAAAAAACTAAAAACTAAAAAGGGAGGTGAGAAATGTACCTTTAATGTGCTGTTGAGTGTCCTGATAAGGTGCAGCTTGTCATTGACAGCCTGGTTTTTGCAGCGTCTTACGAAGGAGGTCCTAAATTCCTTTTTCGTGGATGGTTTACGTTCTCCTATCGGCGACAGACTGGCCTCCTTCAGGTGAATATACAGCTTCTCCATCTCATCGGAGCCGTTCTCATGATTGCCTGCAACAAGACAACACACTTCATCATCATCATCATCATCATCCTACATGCAGTGGTTGCATTGAGTAAATGCCTGCTAAATTAATTCAAATGGCATGCAGGTGAGTCAATTAGATTAGTCACAGATAGAAAGCTCAGAAAAGGAATAAGAATGTTAACAGTCGTATATTCTGTTGATCACTGATGCTAATCAAAGTTCTGAGAAACAGGAAACGTGCTCTGCTTCTTAGAGCTGGAAGTGGGCCACGAGAAAAAACTGCATATATTAAATATTCACCTTTATTTTGCGTCCTTAAAACTTCCCTCTGATCTTCCCCCTCAGCTGAAGGCGTTTCCTCATTAGATTCAGTGCCCGAGGAGTCCTGGGTGGCCAAGTTCTCCAGCCTTGTTTCCTCTGCCGTCTCCTTTTGTGGAGGCTGATGCGAGTGGACCTGGGCTGAGCACACCACTGCTGTTTCCCCAGCAGAAGGAGATGCCTGCGAGACGAGGTCCAACCAGGACTGTCTTTGCTTGGTGAGCGAAGAGGCGGAGCTCTGAGATGTGATCGTACTGACAGGTGAGGAGAGCGAACCGTTAGCTTCGCTGGGGACTGCAGAGGAGTAAGGGGGAGGAAGGGTACCCTGAAATACAAATACATTTAAGTTAAGAGTTTTTTCTATTAATTAATCCCATTTGGTTCCACTTGGTTTTATTTACTTGTAATAAAACATGTAGTGTCCCTTAAAGACACAGCTGCCTTTGCAAAAGTTGTGACCGTGTGTTTAATCTAAACAGAATGTAAATCTTTGCTGAACATTAACAATTAAACTGCAGTTATATGCTCATTTTGAATTTGGCTGCATTGACTGCATTCAGGCTGTTTATTACCGTGACCTCACTTAGTACAGAGTCATTCTAATGTTCTCAAAGTAGCATGGCATCTTCTTGCTGAAACATGCTTGATGGTAGCATGTTTCTCCAGAACCTGTACAGGTTTGCAGATGCCTTCACAGATGTGCATCAAATTCAAAATGAGCTTATATTAAATGAAAAGATAAATGTTGGCTCTTATGGATGGATGTGCATCCAGCCAGAACCGTTACTGACCTGATGTGTGCTACCAGGCGGACCGGAGGCATTCGAGGAGTCCCGCAGGGTCTTTTCAGAGTACGGTGGAGGAGGTATCTCTGTGGTTTCAGCTTCTTCGTGATCACTGGCTTCACTATAACACTCTGAACATGAAACATGGAGACACACAAAAACTTCAAACATGTAACCAACAAATGTAACCCAGGAAAAATGCCTGTGGGGCCCCACAGTGGGTAGTTGTTGGTGAACTGTGGGGCTGTAAACCCACACTTACCCCAAGTGGGCGTGTCCACCTAGATCCTGCTGCAGTTGTGCCCTTTGGGGACCTTACATGGGTTTTCTGTGGGTAAGCCCACGTGGGGCTTACAGCAGTTTTGCTCTTTTTGGGCCCCCAAGAGGGAACTTTGTGGGCAACCAACAGTTGTCTTACAGGAACCCCGAACGGCAAAACTGCAGCAGGATCTAGGTGGGATTAGTTTGGGCTTGCCTTGCCCACACAGCTCCACATTTAGACACTGTGGGCCCACACGGGCATGTTTGCTGACACATTATTTATGATAAGGAAGCATCAAAAAAGAAAATATATTGTGGAGAAGAGACAACCATAGAACATGTTTTATTACACTGTCAGAAATATGAGGCTGAGAGAAAGTGGCTGGTTCAAAACCTCAGTACAACGGAAGTTAAACTGGGGTTACACTGCAAAAGAAGTCAATGAGTGAAAGCTATAACAGGCCATATTTGGTTTAATAAGACTTTAGTGTTTCATTTTTCTCCTCTGAGAGCAAGTGGATCCACAGTGTAGTACAGTTTATCTGATCTAAGGATCAAGTGGTTTGAGAGTGAGAGATATAGATCCCCTGAGGGTTGTGCCAGGATGAGCATCTGCTGTAAAAATCTGTGGGGCCCAGGTGTGCCATACATTTCATATTGGTCTGCCCATAGTAACCCCACACGGGGCTGAAGTGGGCATGTTTGCTTGGAAAGTACTGAAGAGCTATATGACAATTAAAAACAAACGATTCCGTTGCTGATTAAAAACTTAAATAGTAAATTTCTTAAACTAAAACCCAAACAAAGTGAGATGTTGGAAAGCTTCAGTGACAGAGGCGGGGAACTGAAACAGGTGCTCACCGGCCGAAGCGTTTACTTCTGTTTGCTCATACTGAATGGAGGCCAGCCCAAGCTTATTCACCCACCTGAAACAAAGAAATGATCCAACTTAATTGCAATTCTGATAAAATATTATAATGCACATAAAATGCATACATTTCCGAACACTGTTTTAGTTGACATGACTCACAAGTTCATGTCCTCGTAGCTCTCGGCAGCAAAATAAAACATCATAACTTGCGGGTGACAAGCTTTGAATGCACTGAATAGGGAAAGACAGACGAACAGCAGTTTAGTGTTTCGAGGGTTAAAAAAAAAAAAAAAAGACAGTTTTACTGTTATAACTGTGATTTCATAGATCACACCCAGCACTGTTTGTGAGGACTCACTATTTCTTCTTGCACTCGATGGCTCTGTCGATCATGAAGTTTGTGAGGTCGATGTAGCCTTCAGCTTTTTCTGCCTGCAACGCACAGATTGAACAACAGTGAGTATTAGAACACAACTTTCAAACCACTTCCCCACACGGACGTGCGCGTCTGAATTGCAACAGGCAACTTCTTTAATTTCCTCGTACTGAGTGGTGGTGACGTACAGCAGGTCTGACTGAAGTTATCGTGCCAGTAAGTCAAACAGATGTAGATTAGACATATATGTAGCAGCGGGCTATTAGTGACACGGTCACATTCAGGAAGCGCAGTGTCACCAGCGCTCGCTGATTCCTGCAGTGACAGACTGGCAAGGAGACAGCTGTGGAGGAAACCAGTATGACTAACCTGCAGCCCTGACTGCCTAGCGCACATCTGTGACTCACCCAGTGTTAATTCTGTGGTCTGTTACTTAAGCTGTAATAAAATTTAGTCATGTTTCATCTTTTGCTATTGTTAGCGTGAGACAAAAAAGCATAAAAGCAAATAAAAACACATGAAGCCACATCAATCACCGGATTACATGTTCAGTCAAAAACTAAAGTACACATTGTGTATGTGCCACCATCCTGCTGCTGTAAAGAGTGATTACAGCACTTAATCTGCAGCTGATACAAGTTCTCAAGAACTACCCCGATTATTTTTAACTATTTTATGATGATTAAAAAAAAGATCATCAGACAGTTTTAAGATTCTTTTAAGGCGTTTTTTTGATGACTTGGGTGTAACACTGTTGTACTTTGTAACTTTTCCTGAAATTAGCAAAAATAAAGAAGATATGCAAGATACTCTTTAAAAAGGGCAACACAGATAGGATGACACACAAAATATTCCAAAGAGTGGTGGAAAACCAAAAGAAAGAGGTGCAACTTTAATAGCTTCCTTATTTTTTCCTCTCTCTTTTGATATAATTCTCATCATTACATTATATCTTATAATCTTGCAAGATAAATTGAAGAAGTTGAAAAGCATGCAACTGATATAGAGAAGCAGACTTATCTGTGTTAAATATTTTTGTTATCAGGGATTGTGCAATTGTACACTCGCTGTGTGCAATCTCTAAATAGCAACCAGCTAGTCTAAAACCCACATTAGTCTTCTAGTCAGAGGGTGTTTTACTCACCAGCTGGTTGGTATACCAGTAGAGAGCAGTCTTCTTCAGCACAAACCAGTACTTCTTCCATTTCATACCCAGAAAGCCTTTGCTTTCTTTCTTCCTGTACAGCCAGCCCTGGTGGTCTGGCTGGCCGAGCTCTTTGACCGAGATCCGTCTTCTGCTCATCGTACCATTGCCTTAACCAGACAACAGCGCATTTAGTCACAGCATCAGAGGAAGCAGAACGTTACAGATTTAAACATCCAAACACAAACAACCAAAACGTTTCCATTTCAGTCTAAAGAGCTCCCGGAGTTTGGTCGATAACCAAATGGACCTCTAAAACTAAGAAGCGCGTGAAGCATCCTGGAAGAGTCAAATCAAAAGTGCTATTCTACCTTCATCCTACCCGTTACCGATATGAGTCAGTCAGCAAAAACAGTATATATACAAATTAGTTAGCGTCTCAGAAGAACCCAAAGGCACGGCTACACAGAGCCAAGAAATAAAAGAAGTGAAGTGAAAGTAACTGAACTCGTCTAAAATCCCTCTGCACACGCCAAGTGCACCGCTGCTTCGCATCCACCCACTACGCTTTCTAATTGCAGCTGTAGGCTGAGATAAGTGACATGGTGATAAGGCAGGACTCACCTCCTCGGCTCTTCTTCTTGGATTTGTGTCGGAGGGAGACCTTTGAGAGGAGTGCAGAGGAGGGGTTGGGGGAGGTCAAAAAGAAAAAGGCAAGGGGGTGAGCAGCAGTTTCAGACCACACAACTGAGAAGAAGAGGCTGTCTGAAACATCCTGTTTTCACACTGAGTGTCATGTGCATTTTCTCTATCTTTCTACATGCTGTTTAACACCTCCATTAGCATCTGTGACTTGTTTCTTATTGGTCTCCTTTTATTTGTAACTCTCTTTGCTCCCCAGTGAGTCAAACAAAACATCCACCTGGTGGTGTCTAAACTCTGGGTGTATACTGCTTACATTCAAATTAGTTACTGATAAATAGGGAAGCAGAAGTTTCTAATCCTTTAAAGAGAGAGCGAGTAAATGTTAGAAAAAGACAAAAAAGAGCTACTTACAGGGTTGTAGTCATCGGCAGCCATTGAAGGAGTCACGGATATGGGGAAAGCAGCCTGTTGAAAGAAACACCTTATTCAAAATGTGTAGGTTGGAAAAAAACAAAACAGAAATGAGCAGAAAAGGAGAAAAAAAATTTCTTCAGTGTGACAAAAGGATGTGGCGTCACGGGTACAGCAAAGACAATGTTTCCCAATCAGCTTTTTTTTCTCTCTTTCTTATTGTTGTTTTGTTTTTCAGAGGATGGAAAAAACTGAATCGAACATGCTCAGAAACAGCAGAAGTTCTGTGGAAGCAGAAGCTCAGAGAAAGGTTAAAAACGTAAAAAGTTAATGCTCATGATCAGCACTGAGTCACAGCACAAGTGTCACAATGATCAGTGTCAGCAGATTTGTTTAATATGTGACACACACAGAAAGTTGTCTCACAGCAAAATGAAAAGGACTCTTCTGCAAAACGACATCGTGCAAAAATCTATTTTTTCCCAAACAAAGAATCAGAAAGATTTTTCTCACTTTGCAGTTCAAGCTCATAAATGGACAGTAACGTTGTGAAATCTAAGTTGCCTTTATTGACCAACTTCCTCTAGGTTAAGTTCCTTTTTTTTGAAATGCCAAAACTGTTAGAGAGAAAGAACATCAGAGACAAAACTAAGCACCGTGCTGCCCCACTGGGTGTGAAGTTAGAGAAAATGAGAATCTACACTGTGGGTTACACATTTCAGAGTACTCTGAAACGTGTAACCCACAGGCATTTTTAGACTCGGTGGCAAAACCAGGCGGCGAGTTGTTCACAGGGTCCTGAGCCCTGCTGCAGCTGTCCAAGTTTAGCCACTTACCGGTACCACAGCTCGCCAAAGTCCCCAGCTAGAACAATGAAGAGAGAAAGACTCATACCTGGTTCTTTAAAAGGTTCGTCCAAACAGCTAAGTATCCTCTGTGCCTCTGACAGTGATAATAAACCATCACTAGAAGCTCTCATCAATACTTCTGTACATTTGTGCCTTGCACAACACAAATGTATCATCACTTTGCTTTCCGGGTGTCAGAGCTGAGAGGCTGAGTGTAGGAGGTAGATGCCTATCACCACACAAACCACTGCCCAAACCTGACTGAGAGTGACTGCCTGCCTGTGTTTAGTAACTAACTTCCTCTTGGAGTTTTCTCTTTTGCACATGTTAAGAACCATGTGTAATTTTAGTGGCAAGATCCAGACTGAACAAACCTATCTGCAGATTTACGCAACTATTCTTTGAGGTTAGATGCAGCAAGAGATGAAAAATGAAATATTCTCTCTGTATGTAAGATGCTCTTTTATATCACCATTAAAGGAGGAAGTTGACACTTCCCCTGAAAATAAGATTTTTCTTCTGAAAGTAAGCTTTCGGGAGAAAAAGAATGACGCAATTTCTCGACCACTACCTGAAACAAATACCTACAATTTCAAAAGAGCGAAAAAAAAAATCTGCGTCTTACAATGAAATGACATTCACAAAGAATAGAGGGGAATGTGACGTGTTTACAACCAAATACTTTTCATACTATTAGGACTATTTTGCGAAGTTTAAGACAAATTTGGTTAAATGTTAAATAACGATTTTCTGACTGTAACTACTGAGTGTAGTTCAGCAGTAGCCTGACTGCTTGTTGTCCAGTAGCTTAATGGCGAAACAAAGTCAAAGAAGCCTGCGGACAAATGAATTAGTCCGAGCTGCCAGTAAAACAAACACTGTACCTTCCACCATAACCTCAGAGAAAGTAGTCTGTCTCGAAACCTTTGCTCAAAGGTTGACCAAACTTTGCCAAACATGTCAGGAACATACGCAGAAAGCCAAAGAGCACGTTCAAAGAGACGCCGGCTGGTTTCAGGTGAGTTCAGGTCCTGTCTGGGCGTTACCCTCCAAAGAAGGCACCACCCAAACTGAAACTGACAAAGTGACAGATATTTTTGACTCCCCCCAATAATTCAGATATAACTACAGGGCTAATTTTTCGCATTTCATGTTCCCCCCATTTTCCCCACGCATCTTTCATTCATTCATTAAATTCAGTAAAATCCATTCGTTTTCGCAGTTACCCCACCTGACCGCAGGGTGTCGCTAAATCCCAACTGTGTAACAGCCTTGGAACCTCAGTGAGAGCGTCATAAAAGCATCATTTTTACCCAACACACACATTTGTCTTTACAGCTGTTGTTGTACTTGACGCGTAAAATGTAGACGGGACTGTTCCACAGACTTGCCTGTGTAATTCAAAACACATCATTGTATCATTGTTTCAAACAGCTGTGACATTCACAGTAACTCACGCTGAGTATGAAAAGCAGCATTTCACATGTGGTGAATGCAGAGGAAGTCCGCACTGATGCTTACAAAGCACTTTTTAAAATTTTTTTTTATTACTTTAAGAGAAGTTGATAAAAATCACCAACAACCGCCTGCAAGAAGAATGAGAAATATAAGCGGTTCAGTTTACACCCATCCACTCGTTGCTTAGGGAAGCTGTTCCATGGCTATCAACACCCTTCGCTGCCTCAGTGGGGAGCGAGTTTTTAGCCACAGCATCACTGCCTGAGCTGTATCTGTGCAGAGGCTTGGATGTTCTGGGCCACGTTTGGCGGTAAACCAGCAGACACATTCCTGAGTCCTGCGTTATTATAGTCTCCATTTTTACTAAGCCTAAATAGACAGGGGCCTCGTATTTCTTTCCACTTGCCATTGTACAGTAGAAAGTGGTGTGAAGTGACGAGGAGGCCTTCTTTATCTCGCTCACATTCGCGCAGGCTTGTGGCTTCCTCTTTGCTTTGCTGTCACCCTATCTTTCTCATCTGTATCAAGTGACTTCCTCGATTTGCCCTTAACCTCGCAGAAGCCTTTAATATTTAAATTAAACGTGCTGAACTAAACTTAATAGCTCATGATAATTCACGCCCGTCTCATTTCTGTGCATTCTACTGGAGCTATGTATTGGTGGAAGTGAGATAATCTGGCCTGCGACTCATGTCAAAGGATTCAAGGGAGTGCTGATTGGTCACACCAACTCAATCTCCCATCATGATCCGTGCTGAGAATTGTCATGGCACTTACTTACCCCCACCCAGAAACTGTGTGTGAGACAGAAAGGGGGGGCGGGGCGGGGGGGTCAAACAGAGTGGCTATTATTTACCAGGGGACTCTCACACAGTGTAAAGGGGGAAGGGTGCAGTGGTTGGAGATGATATCAGATTCTCGCTCGCTCAGTTTGATGGCGCTGCATGCCCCTCGCCGGCTGTTGTTGACTGTGCAGTTGCCGCTGATCATGTCCTGAATTTTGATTTTGGTGCACAAAGCTCTGAATTCAAGACTGAAAGAACTTAAATCAGAAGTTGGTCTGCAACATATAAACCTATATAGACACAAATAGTCTAAAAGGAAGCGGTTGATGGCCTCCCATATACCACGCCTGCATCGGCGTGGACTCCCTGTGTCCAGCCATCTTACCCCTGTGGAGGATTGACAGTAACCCGTGGTACTGGGGTGTGTGGTTTCACTGTGTGCGTCCTCAGTTAACCCCTGCAGTCATCTCATTTCCACAAATGCTAAAGCTAGAAGGTGCACGATCAAATTTTCTTCTAACAGCATATTCAACAGAGAACGAAGAGATGCAGTCTTCTGCAAAGTGATACTGCTAACACATAAAGATGATCTGTACCACGTTAGTTTAGAGATTTAGCACAAATTTTAATTTAGGATTTTGTAGTTTAATAAAAAAAATGAACCTGTCAAGGACACTATTTATCCCCAACATAAATGTCTTCACCAAGTTTTACGTAAAATACACTTTTTGAATTTTATTTCATATCCCAAATGTCAAATTTAAGATGCAGGAAAAATCGAGACACTTAGAAAGATTCATCCATATTAATAAAAAACAAAGAGCTTTGCAGTGCAGACTAAGCTTTGTGTGCAGTGTAACAGGTCAATCATTGAAGCTCCAGGCCATTCCTCACAAACACACATCATTCAGGTGCATGCACTTCATTTTTTCAGTGAGAGGAGCTGATTGTTATTTACTTACTGCTTGAGAAAAGGACCACGATCGTAAATGTGGATGATTATACCTGTAAGAACAAGCGAGAGACACGAAAGCCAACACATTAATAACTGAAAACACACCACATGCACTGATGTCGAGCAGTGCTTTCCAGCAGACTTATATCATACACCAAAGAGATTCATCTCACATTACCGCAGTGTATTTTGAACATTTCCAACACATACTTATTGCTTCCCAGCTAACTGCTCATTATCTTTATCTGTGTTCCAATCTGACTCTGATTTGGCAAAGCAAAAGCAGACACTTACGGGTTGGGATTTATTTGTGAGTGCTTCTGATAATACATTTGGAGACCAGTCACAGGAGCATGCTGGAGAAGAAGGTCGCTCCCAATGTTCTGACTGTTCTCAATACTGAATTGCCCTCTGCTGGGCCTAAGCCAGTGTGTTTTGTAGGCTGTGAAATGGATTAAGGCTTGCTGTCCTTCCCCTTTAATTGCATTTTTGTTTTCCTCCCTCTCAGATTATTAAAAAAGATGATGATAAAGATTGTTTGAAAAAATGGTTTTAATAGATGACAAAGAGAAATCTGATGCACCGTTACATTCCTCGCCTCACCGTGAGAAACCCCCCCCCCTCTTGTTTTTACAGATTGACCAGCCTAAAATTAATATGACACACGATTAAATCCGCTGTCAATCAAATTCCTTTCCCTGCATCAGTGGCACATGTTCATAACCGCCACCAGCGATGAGTCAACTACGTATCTATGAGATTTACAATAGCATCTGTCTATATATCCTAATTGTGAGTAATGTTTTTGATCAAGCGTGCAATAGACCGGATGCAGTGCGCTTGTGTGCGGCTCTTAGAATAGAAGCACTGGGCTGGGGGTGGGGTGCAAGGCGTTTAGTCATCTATTGGGGTGTTAATGTGGGGAGTCACACTTCCCCAGGCCCTGCGTCCAAGACAAGAAGAGATCTATGGGCAACGCATGAGGAGAGGGAACAGCAGTCCTCATATGTCATCATATTTGGTAGTGGGATGGAGTTATTTATAGTTGGAAGCGGATTTAGCATTCGTCATAACAGTGACATTTCTAAAGATCTCTGGGGGATCTTGGGGGTGGATGGACACATTGCTGTGTGGGACATGTTGGATGCTGAGGTGCTGAGACAGAACTATGTTAAAAAAAAAATAGGCCACAAATACTCTTTCAGTTTCATTATAAGCTCTAAATTAATTAAGGAACTTCAATAATGGAAAAAGTCACGTTGTATCGATAGAAATGACTAATGCTCTGCAGAGGACGTTTATCAATCTCTGTAATTAACATTCTGTTTTACCAACTACCCATCAGCCACAGCAGTAACCTTCACTTTGGAGGTAGTTCTCTACCGGGGAGCCAGTTTGCATAATCGTTCTCCAGGTTGTACTTAGACACTTTCAGTCTGGCTTTACGTTGCCTCCTGTGCGGAAGTGGCATTTCTCTGATACCTCACCCTCCCTGCAGGGTTCTCGTGACTACAGTTCCCGACTTGGTTAAGTCTGTGAGGCTTGTTCTGCACTCTGTGGCTCTTGATAATACTTTACACTCCAGTTGTCCACACTTGCAAAATCTGTGATAACTTTGTATATCCATCTCCTGCTTTGTGAGCATCTAAACTAAACGGATTTCGCTGGTTTTGCCACGATGCTTTCTCATGACACAGATCAAATCCTTACTGAAGTTTTTATACTGTGTGTAAATTAGAAAATAATTATAATCATTGCTCAGCAGTGGATGGTTTGTTTGTGATGCTCAATAAAAAAGTCAGTTTTACAGGATGCTAAGATGCTACCTATGCTTTCTAAAGTAAACTAGTATGTGTAGAAATCAGAAGTTGGTCTGCAACATATAAACCTATATAGACACAAATAGTCTAAAAGGAAGCGGTTGATGGCATCCCATGTACCACGCCTGCAAATAGTATGTGTAGAAATGCTGTGCTGAAAACCCCTTACTCTGTTAGACGAAAACTTTAGATTTCATTGGAAGACTAATAATTTGGCCTTTATTTGTAAATGACAATAATTTCCGGGGTATATTCATATATAGACATAGTATGAAGAGGTCCCTTTTTCAGTAACCATCTCTCCTCCAAATAATTCATTTGGCTAGTTGAAAATCTGGAGCATTAGCTGTTGTGTGCTTGCTTTTTGTCTTAAAATAGCCAGATGATTCATGGTTTGAGAAACTAA